TATTCTCCTTAAATTATTTAATTAAATAAACGTATTTCATATATCACTGTCACGAGGTACCGTTTTTTTGTACATTTTATTTTCAAAGTTAGTGCTGGTGGTCTGAAATTGTTCTCACAATATACTTTGTGTCTGCATAATATTTAATTCTTGAGAATAGGTTACAATGCAATGCTGTAACTCTTTTTGAAACCCCTCAAAAAAAAAGTCCCACATAGATCTAAAATTCCTTTCACTAGATTTTTTTTCAACACAAAAAAATGCCATTTTGACAAGTTACTCACACATTTTTAAAAAAACAGGCATCATCAAACTGCTCTATATGCAAACACCACAACAGACAATACGCTTAGTTATCCACGGAAAATTTACGTTTAAAACAACTCAGGCTGACAGACAAATAAAAAAACTTTTTTTGTTTTATTTTATTTTTTTCTTGTGACAGTTCCAATGTTGCCGATGCACACATTTATCAACGTACTTGCACAAAGACACTGCTGGAACTATTCGTGAGGGGGGGAATAAACCATGATTGGACGAGTTTATTTGGGTCGGGAATCCCGATTTTGAAATTCTGTCACCTTGATTTGGAAATCGGCACACGCTCGTCTGTAATACAAAGAGTGCAATAGGCGTTTTTTTAATGCTACAGATTTGACATCTATGTCTGATTCTATAAAAGTAAAATATACAAAAGCAAAGTTCAAAATTGGCAACCCCCCTCTCCCGCCACCCCCTCCCAAATAAAGATATCCACACACGCGTTTCATAGCTTCCCAGCTTAACTCCCTCCTCCAAGGTCACATGTACATGTCAATGGTCTCATAAAGAAAATATAGAAGTGATGGGGAATATCTTGCATCATATATAGACAAATCCATAATATCCATCCATATAGACTATTTATTATTCGATGCAAATAAGACACGTGTAGGCCTACTGGTTTTAAAAAATCAAAATAAAAGAAAGGAAAAGACAAAAGGATACAATCGCCATGTTGGAGCTTTTCGTTGTTATTGTAGTGAAGCTGAGCCCAAACTGTACAGTTGTTAGGAAAAAAAAACATTTCCATAAATATCATTTTTCTACCCCGGAACGTATACCCATAATTAAATTACAAATTGATAAATATGGCATCATGGATATGTATTTACAACGGCATATTAACAAAAGGCAACGTTATTATATTCAACGGCAACAATCGTAACCTAATACCACATTGTTTTTCTCCACCCAAAAAACGGACGATGACAACAGATTCGACCCCATCAAACAAGGAAATACATTCACGAGTATAATATTTATTTATGATTTTTTTTTGTCTTTTGTTACCTTTTAAACTGTGTTCAAGTTCATGACAAAAAAGGACTTTGGCACGTTTTCTTAAGACTGAAGTTCCAACAATCATTTGAAGGGGCGACACAACAGTTGCTGCCTGCCACCCTTTTTTTTAATAATATAAAACAGAGTGAAATAATTCTCCCTTTTTTATTCTTTTCATTTTTAAATAAAATTTTGAGAAAATACATAAAATGAAAAATAAATCATTTCCTCAAACCTTTTTTTGAACTAAAAAGGGAAACAAACAAAAAAACAACAACAAAATGACGTAATCTGAGAACGCCTTGTCTTTTCCCATTTATTTTCATTTGAATCTCTCCAAACTGCTGAATAAAAAGTCCAACTTGAGTAATCCTGAGCTCGGACTTGGCCCATTTGCTTGCTTCTGCTTGTCCCGTTTTCCTCGTGGATGCTTGTGTGTGTGTGTGTGTGTGTGTGTGTGTGTGTGTGTGTGTGTGTGTGTGTGTGTGTGC